AGGGTTACGGGTCAAGGCTACCTCTAGGGTTACGGGTCAAGGCTACCTCTAGGGTTACGGATCAAGGCTACCTCTAGGGTTAGGGGTCAAGGCTATCTGTAGGGTTACGGGTCAAGGCTTCCTCTAGGGTTACGGTCAATACTACCTCTAGGGTTACGGGTCAAGGCTACCTCTAGGGCTACGGGTCAAGGCTACCTCTAGGGTTACGGGTCAATACTACCTCTAGGGTTACGGGTCAATACTACCTCTAGGGTTAAGGGTCAAGGCTACCTCTAGGGTTACTGGTCAAGGCTATCGGTAGGGTTACGGGTCAAGGCTACCTCTTGGGTTACGGGTCAATACTACCTCTAGGGTTACGGGTCAAGGCTACCTCTAGGGTTACGGGTCAATACTACCTCTAGGGTTACGGGTCACGTCTACCTCTAGCGTTACGGCTCAAGGCTACCTCTAGGGCTACGGATCAAGGCCACCTCTAGGGTTACGGGTCAAGGCTACCACTAGGGTTACGGGTCAAGGCTATCGGTAGGGTTACGGGTCAAGGCTACCTCTAGGGTAACTGGTCAAGGCTACCTTTATGGTTACGGATCAAGGCTACCTCTAGGGTTACGGGTCAAGGCTACCTCTAGGGTTACGGGTCAATGCTACCTCTTGGGTTACGGGTCAAGGCTACCTCTAGGGCTACGGATCAAGGCTACATTTACGGTTACGGGTGAATTCTCTATTTCCAGAAGTTTTTCAACTTATCGCAAAAAAAAGTGAGTCTGCCACAGGTTTTGACTGTAGATTTGAGTCAATGCTACAAATCCCGATTGAAAATGTTTTTCTACATAACTCCACAATGAGTGACCTATTGTGGTTCAAGTTCTAGACTTCCCTAAGCTAAAATATGACTCAATAAATGAATTTTTGCGGGACATTTTGGATGGAGATAAATACTAGTATATCTCCACTGGTACACTGCACACATGTGGTTTAAAGGCAGCCATAATGTATCTGTAGTGCACGCGAACTTTCAACTTCAATTTGTTTCTCATAGTTGATTGAAAAATGGAAAACGGAGGACCTTCTCCTGTTTGTATCTCTGCTGCACTTTGCTATTCTGCGTCGGCATCCGCGTTATGGATGCGTGGTCGATAGTGTTCTAAGTCAGATTTGTACCCACCGATAGCTGTAACCCACCTCTTTGATGTGGCATCCAGTGTCACGAGGTCACGACATAAGTCAATAAGTTTTGTCGGTCACTCCAAAGAACAGTGAGTCCTTAAGTTTGTCGATCGCTTCCAACTTCAGCGTTAGGAACTCAACTATGTGTTTAGGGTATCGGCATGCGTCTTCCGACAACCTTCAAGTGACATTAGTAACGACCTCCTTCTTCACACCAATCTTACATGGAAGACAACACCATATCCTAACAATAAGGCGTCTGTGTGAAGAACCAATAGGCGCTCGGAAGCTGGATGTTTTCAAAAAAGCCTCTTTTGATAATTTCAAAAGAGGCTTTTGTGCCTCTGCCCGAACATATTGGCGATATTCCCTTTTTGACGTTATTTGCTTCCATCTTAGATTTCCTGGTTGCATGTATCAGTATGGCTAGCGGACGAGCGATGAGTGAGATTGAACCGACGGTAGCATCCCCATAAACCACAAATGTCATGAGGCCCTTTTGAAAACTTGGCCTGAACGGTCTGAGTAAATATTAAACCCTATTTTAGTCCATAGATGGTTTTTGACCTTGACTTGGTATTCAACTAGCAGTCTCCAAGCGACGAACATTTTAGTATTATAATGTAATTCTAACGCTGACGTAAGTGACACGGTGGCACGGGGGATGTTTACACAGATATACCACAAATATGAACAATGTGTCGGGTATTGTTATTGTTAATGCTACGATACATTTTTTGTGACCCCGTATATGTAAATTGTTTGTTTTCGCGACCGCTTCACTATCAAGAAGTTTGATTATCGAATAGACAATATCTAAGTCTGCGAATGAAACATGAGCTTTATATAGAGATTGAACGGTGTTTTTTTTTTAATTTTCATGCCAGTATGAACGCAATCTCATTAAAATCAGATGTTAATAAAAATACCTACGCATGCGGTACGTGATAATGAACAGCTGTATTTATTCAGATTGGTATGAACGCAAATAGGTTGCATCCATATTGCATCCGCTAGGGATGTATGTAACCAAGTTGCTTTTATACTCAAATGAATGCATATCTGCTGGTAACGTTCATATAGTGGGTTGCAGCAAAAATGTAAATATATTGCATATACTCGGGACTTTTGTGACTAAGCATGAAAATAAGCCGAATCTCCCCTGTGAGAGAGCCAGAATTATAAACTGCCAACCTTAGATATAGAAAAAGGTAACCAAGGCAACTGTGATATCAAAATAACGAAAAGTCCTGTTTAATAATTATAGACTTTGTATGAGGGGAAATGTTATTTAAGTTCCTTCCTGTCAAAACATTGACAAGGATCGTCAAATGTTTCAGTGTAGTTACACAAGTTAAAGTCTCGAGGTAATGAAGAACTTGAACATGTTGTTAAAATTTAAATCCTACTGTTGATAATGTGCTCCAGGACTATAATGCTTTCGATGTGAAATCAATGGATTGACGCGACGCTGCCGTTCTTATACTCCACGAACAGTGTCAGTTTCAAATATGTGTTTTAAACGGCTAGAGTCAGATTGGGATACACTTGAATCATGCCCTACTTTTCAGTCCTGGCTATATATAATATTGTCACCACATGCCGTGTTATTAATATCATGGCATATGGTCATCCTTTGTATGAGGAGACTCATCTACACGAGCGTTATTGCAACTGCTATTGTTTGTAGTATATTAATGAACATATACTAAGCTCTATTGCTGCAGTTGCGGGATAGCGTGCTCGTAATGTTATTTAAAATGTTCTCCAGTCCTTTAATCGATCCTTTTTTCATATCATTATTTTATTAATGTTATTTTTTTCTTAAATCGATAAACAGTTGAAGCAGATATGATCGGTTTTCGTTATCTTTTGATTTTGCGCGGGAAACAGACCATGACGTCAGCTGTTCCTCGTGGCTATTGTAATTTTTGACCTCGTCTCGGCGATAAAGACGGCAAAATTTGAATTGTAAGGAAAGACACTAATTGCATTTTTTTATGCTAAAAAAAAACCACCACAAAAAACAAACAAACAAACGAATAGTGTATACCTGGAATAACTGTCACCTGTATAGCAGACAAACTTATCGTGATGTGGAATCCAAAAATTCAAATTGAAGAACCTTTTTTATTGACATGAAATATTTAAAGCGGAATTACAATAAATTTCGTAAATAATACCGATCACAACAGTTCATTCAAAGGATAATAATCACAACACATTCAAAGGGATTCTATTCATAGGACGTCATACAAACGATACTAACCAGAGGAGAGATTTTTTTTATCACAACGCGTTATACAACTGATACTAGTCACAACAAATCATACAAAACATACGCTATACACAAGGACAAAGGACACTTATCACAAACTAAAATACAAATAATATCAATCACAGAATGTCATATCACGGATACTAATCACAGCACGTCACATAACGGATAATAATCATAACACGTCAAATAACATATATACCAATCACAGCACGTCCATAACGGATACTTATCACGAGATGTCACGTAACGGACACTGATCACAACACGTTATATCACGGAAACTAATCACAGTACGTCACATAACGGATAATAATCACATCACGTCACATAACGGATACTTATAACACGTCACATAACGGATTCTTATAACACGTCACATAACGGATTCTTATCACAGCACGTCACATATCGGATACTCACAGGACGTTACAAAACGGATAATAATCACATCACGTCACATAACGGATTCTTATCACAGCACGTCACATATCGGATACTAATCACAGGACGTTACATAACGGATATGATCACAGCACGTCACATAACGGATATGATCACAGCACGTCACATAACGGATATGATCACAGCACGTCACATAACGGATACTGATCACTACATGTCACATAACGGGAAAACAATCACATCACGTCATTTAACGGATAATTATCATTACACGTCACATAACGGATAATAATCACAGCACGTCACATAACAGATAATAATCACAGCACGTCATATAACGGACACTTATGACGGCACGTCACATAACGGACATTTATCACAGCCCGTCACATAACGGACACTTATCACAGCACGTCACATAACGAATAATAATCACAGCACGTCATATAACGGACACTTATGACAGCACGTCACATAACGGACACTTATCACAGCCCGTCATATAACAGATAACAATCACAGCCCGTCACATAACAGATAATAATCACAGCATGTCACATAACGGATAACAATCACAGCACGTCACATAACGGTCACTTATCACAGCACGTCATATAACAGACACTTATCACAGCACGTCACATAACGGATAACAATCACAGCGCGTCATATAACAGATAATAATCACAGCACGTCACATAACGGATAGCTGTGCATAGGCCGTATCCCCGACCAATCCATATCTGGCCTGCAAGCGCCATATCTGCCCGGAAGAGGCAATATCCCCCCGGCACGCGCCATATCCGTTTAATGTCCGGTTGAAAAACTTTTCAGAAAAATCGCACCTCAAACGTGTAGTGTTCACACTGCATATCTGTCCGGATTTGCTATTCGGTCAATGTTTTTTTCTTTAGGGAGGATGGTGATTGTAGTAAAGCTAATGACAAATAATGTTTCTGCCAGTTCTATGTGTTATTTTCATACGTTTGACGTTATTGAGCAGTATGAAAAATCACCATATGACTACTTCCATACAATCCTACTCCGTATCAGCCCTCGACCGATATATAATAGCCTTCGGGCTGATATGGGAGCTCGTGCCCATACGGAGTAGGATATGGAAATGGTCATATAATAACTTCTAAGTACAGGATCACATGCCTTTAACAGAATGATAGAAGACAAGGCCCATCTCCATTATGGTTATCATGATACAGATGGAGAAATTCCACCTGTCAATCGCGTGACTCACTATCTGCCAGGTCAGTATAGGGCGCCGGTCAATGTCCTCCGACACAACAGCGTGATGTGTGATACCATCCGTCCCAGTGACACCCAGATTCGTCTTTGCCCTTGGAGACATGCTTTCTGGCGTTTTTCCTGTGAGGACGTCTTTTGTGTTGCAATTACTTTTGTATGTTCGCCAAGTCACCAACATGGTTAAACATCGGAGATGGCAAGGTATGTCCCTGGTGTCACTTCGATGGTGGTAATTCAAGGATAGAATAGTACACGTGCATACTATGACGTTATTGGCGAGATGTATACAGAGAATAATGCTTACAACGGGAACATCTGTGGACAATGGAGGTAACTGATCCATGACGATAGTCATGAAGATTGCAAGAGACAGAAGTACAGTGATGGAGTAGCTTGCCTTCTCCCCACACTCAGCTGGAAGGAAAAACACAAACAAGTTCATACAGATCAGGAAGGCAATGGGGATGAACAGATTCAGAAGTAAAAACTCTGGTCGACGTGACAACTGTATGGATAAATCAACATACCGAGATGCGTTATTTCCTGCAACAATAAACTTTGCGGTGAGGTTCAACGCGTCCACAGTCCATTGACCATTATCCACCAGTTGGTCCAAATAAACATGTGACGGGACGGAAATCACTTCGCCCAAACTGTAACCTAGGTGACTGATCATCAGGTGACAAGTGTGAGAGTCGAATGGAAAATATTTGATAAATGGTTTACACGTGCTCTCGAGATAAGTAGCGAAGAGCAACATCGCTAAGCCTTCCGAGGAGTACTGAACGAGAAGCATGTCCTTCTCTTTGCTTAGGAAGCCGTAGCTGTCCGCTGGGTTCACCAGTACCATGGGCGGAACCCACACGTCGAGCAGGGGGAGGTTTACCACTGTGATGTTGTCGTATTCTTCACTGTCCCAACGTATGTACTCATCCGTCCACTGCAGCATGAATAAAAGGTGTGTTCCTAAAACACTCTCCACGATATTAAACTCTTTCAACATGTAGAAGTATAAGCTTATATGTACCAACAACGGATCATTTTGATTTCGAAGAGGACGAGTAGACTTTGTATAATTCTGTAAAAGGTTACGTTTTAACCGTGTCATATTCTCATAGGATTCTCCGTTTACATTCGAACATAAAAGAAACACGGAGATTAAAGATAGCACCAACATGGTAACGGATAGATCACACGTAACTTTCTATATCTCAGCAGTTAGTAACCAATTATTCACCTGTGATTATCTCCTCAGATTGTAACTGATGGTTCACCTGTGGATGTCTCCTCAGATTGTAACCGATTATTCACCTGTGATTATCTTATCAGATTGTAACTGATGGTTCACATGTGAATGTCTCCTCAGATTGTATCTGATGGTCCACCTGTGGATGTCTCCTCAGATTGTAACCGATTATTCACCTGTGATTATCTTATCAGATTGTAACTGATGGTTCACATGTGAATGTCTCCTCAGATTGTATCTGATGGTCCACCTGTGGATGTCTCCTCAGATTGTAACCGATTATTCACCTGTGAATGTCTCCTCAGATTGTTACTGATGGTTCACCTGTGATTATCGCCTCAGATTGTTCTCCTCAGATTGTAACCGAATATTCACCTGTGATTATCGCCTCAGATTGTTCTCCTCAGATTGTAACCGAATATTCACCTGTGATTATCGCCTCAGATTGTAACTGATAGTTCACCTGTGATTATCTCCTCAGATTGTAACAGATTATTCACCTGTGAATGTCTCCTCAGATTGTTACTGATGGTTCACCTGTGATTATCGCCTCAGATTGTAACTGATAGTTCACCTGTGATTATCTCCTCAGATTGTAACAGATTATTCACCTGTGAATGTCTCCTCAGATTGTACCTGATGGTTCACCTGTGATTATCGCCTCAGCTTGTAACCGATTATTAACCTGTGATTATTTCCTCAGATTGTAACTGATGGTCCACCTGTGGATGTCTCCTCAGATTGTAACCGATTATTCACCTGTGAATGTCTCCTCAGATTGTACCTGATGGTTCACCTGTGATTATCGCCTCAGCTTGTAACCGATTATTAACCTGTGATTATTTCATCAGATTGTAACTGATGGTCCACCTGTGAATGTCTCCTCATATTGTAACTGATGGTTCACCTGTGATTATCTCCTCAGATTGTAACAGATTATTCACCTGTGAATGTCTCCTCAGATTGTACCTGATGGTTCACCTGTGATTATCGCCTCAGATTGTTCTCCTCAGATTGTAACCGAATATTCACCTGTGATTATCGCCTCAGATTGTAACCGATTATTAACCTGTGATTATTTCCTCAGATTGTAACTGATGGTCCACCTGTGAATGCCTCCTCAGATTGTAACCGATTATTCACCTGTGATTATCTCATCAGATTGTAACTGATGGTTCACATGTGAATGTCTCCTCAGATTGTAACTTATGGTTCACCTGTGATTATCGCCTCAGATTGTTCTCCTCAGATTGTAACCGAATATTCACCTGTGATTATCGCCTCAGATTGTAACTGATAGTTCACCTGTGAATGTCTCCTCAAATTGTAACCGATTATTCACCTGTGATTATCGCCTCAGATTGTTCTCCTCAGATTGTAACCGAATATTCACCTGTGATTATCGCCTCAGATTGTAACCGCTTATTAACCTGTGATTATTTCCTCAGATTGTAACTGATGGTCCACCTGTGATTATCTCCTCAGATTGTAACTGATGGTTCATCTGTGAATATCTCCTCAGATTGTAACCGATTATTCACCTGTGATTATCTCATCAGATTGTAACTGATGGTTCACATGTGAATGTCTCCTCAGATTGTAACTTATGGTTCACCTGTGATTATCGCCTCAGCTTGTAACCGATTATTAACCTGTGATTATTTCCTCAGATTGTAACTGATGGTCCACCTGTGATTATCTCCTCAGATTGTAACCTATGGTCCACTTGTGATTATCTCCTCAGATTGTAACTGATGGTTCACCTGTGATTATCTCCTCAGATTGTAACAGATTATTCACCTGTGAATGTCTCCTCAGATTGTACCTGATGGTTCACCTGTGATTATCGCCTCAGATTGTAACCGATTATTTACCTGTGATTATTTCCTCAGATTGTAACTGATGGTCCACCTGTGGATGGCTCCTCAGATTGTAACTGATAGTTCATCTGTGAATGTCTCATCAGATTGTAACCGATTATTCACCTGTGAATGTCTCCTCAGATTGTTACTGATGGTTCACCTGTGATTATCGCCTCAGCTTGTAACCGATTATTAACCTGTGATTATTTCCTCAGATTGTAACTGATGGTCCACCTGTGAATGCCTCCTCAGATTGTAACCGATTATTCACCTGTGAATGTCTCCTCAGATTGTAACCGATTATTCACCTGTGATTATCTCCTAAGATTGTAACAGATAGTTAATCTGTGAATGTCTCCTCAGATTGTAACTGATGGTTCACCTGTGATTATCGCCTCAGATTGTAACCGATTATTAACCTGTGATTATTTCCTCAGATTGTAACTGATGGTCCACCTGTGAATGTCTCCTTAGATTGTAACTGATGGTTAACCTGTGATTATTTCATCAGATTGTAACTGATTGTTCACATGTGATTATCGCCTCAGAATGTAACTGATTATTCATCTGTGAATGTCTCCTTAGATTGTAACTGATGGTTAACCTGTGATTATTTCATCAGATTGTAAATGATGGTTCACCTGTGGATGTCTCCTCAGATTGTAACCTATGGTCCACCTGTGAATGTCTCCTTAGATTGTAACTGATGATTCACCTGTGAATGTCTAATCAGATTGTAACCGAATGTCTCCTCAGATTATAACTGATGGTTCACATGTGATTATCTCCTCCGATTGTAACTGATGATTAACCTGTGATTATCTCCTAAGATTGTAACAGATAGTTAATCTGTGAATATCTCCTCAGATTGTAACTGATGGTTAACCTGTGATTATTTCATCAGATTGTAACTGATGGTTCACCTGTGATTATCGCCTCAGATTGTAACTGATTATTCATCTGTGAATGTCTCCTCAGATTGTAACTGATGGTTAACCTGTGATTATCTCCTCAGATTGTAACTGATGATTCACCTGTGAATGTCTCCTCAGATTGTAACTGATAGTTCATCTGTGAATGTCTCCTCAGGATGTAACAGATAGTTCACCTGTGATTATCCCCTCAGATTGTAACTGATGGTTCACCTGTGAATGTCTCCTCAGATTTTAACTGATGGTTCACCTGTGATTATCGCCTCAGATTGTAACTGATAGTTCACCTGTGAATGTCTCCTCAGATTGTAACTGATTATTCTCCTGTGAATGTCTCCTCAGATTGTAACTGATGGTTCACCTGTGAATGTCTCCTCAGATTGTAACTGATAGTTCACCTGTGATTATCTCCGAAGATTTTAACCGCCGGTTTACACGTGAGTGTCTCTTCAGATTGTTTCTGGTGGTACCGGTGTCTAATTTTGTTCATAGCTCAGATTGTAAATGTAGGGTTGATACGTGAGTGGCAGGTGTATCGGTCTTCTTTATTAGTTCCGAACTAAATCTACATTTCCCACATTAATCTGTACATCATAAACCGTAAAACGGTTTTCCAAGAGAAAGAACTGTCGGCTTAAAACGAATATGCTACATTCCATTAACTGTAATCCATTTATATGGTATAAAACATTATTGTGTATTGTCTTGCCTTTAACAGAATCACTTTAGAGAGACCACAAACAGGGGAATGGTAGGACAAATCAAATAACGATGTTCGTCGTTGAGATACAGACAAATAAAGAGGAGATAAACATTTGACAAGTGTGTAAATAGGCCTCAATACGTTACTATGTTACATTACGTGTGGTGAGTTACTTGTGTAAATAATGGCATCTCCGTTAATGGTCTGCAATGTATATTGATTCGTATCACACGGAGACCATCGATATCAGTACCATAACACCTAATGTCTCGGTGAGTTTACACTAGTGTGAAGTCCATCTGGCGTTTTGCTGTTCTTACACTTTCTTAAAAAATAGCAAAAAAATGGAAGTTTGCTGAAATAAATTATGTTGACCTATCCAAAAAGCCAGAGGTTTCGACGTTAACAAGAGAGAATAAGCAGATAAATATCCGATCGTGTGTCCGACTGTTCGTTCATCTATGTTACATCAATATTATCCGTATCAAGGTAAAGAAGCAGGGTTCCATTGCTCTTGTCAAACTCGCAATCGTTTTGTGTAGAATTGAATATTTAACTATAACCACGTATATTTTTTTATAAGTATTATATAATAATAACTTTTGAACACAATCAGGACTTGAAAACATATTTTGAGAGCTTTCGAAAACGTCCGTTTCCATTGTCAAGCAAAGAATGCAAATGACCGGTGTCTCGACCCTAAACCCGCTGAAAACAACTCACTTAGTCTCAGGGGGCCAAATCAGTAAAGTCAACTGTCAAAAATCATAGAGACAGTTCACCCAATTGCACTCTAATACTGCAGGTAGTCAGGGGGACGGGTAACATGTTTACCCATTCCGCCCCTTATTGAACTCAGACACCCCTTGTATATTTGTTTCTTGGGTCCATTTTGACCCGAATGGTTCATAAAAAACGTAGAAAAAAACATTCGGGGTATTCACATATACATGTTGTCAGGGTCTGTTTGATATGCATTCAAATGGGCCGAAAGAAACAAAAAGTGTTATATATCGGTAGACGATGTGGCCAGTGTCGTCTACAGGTAGACAGTGGACCATGTTCTATGTACAGGTACACGTTTGGCCCAGTGTTATGTATCGGTAGATGATGTTACTAGTATCGTTTACAGGTAGACATTGGACCATGTTTTATGTACAGGTACACGTTTGGCCCAGTGTTATGTATCGGTAGATGATGTTACCAGTATCGTCTACAGGTAGAAAGTAGACCATGTTTGATGTACCGGTACAAGTTTGACCTTGTTTCATGTATCGATAGACGATGTGACCAGTATCGTCTACAGGTAGACAGTTGACCATGTTCTATGTACAGGTACACGTTTGGCCCAGTGTTATGTACCGGTAGACGATGTGGCCAGAATCGTCTACATGTAGACAGTGGACCATGTTCTATGTACAGGTACACGTCTGGCCCAGTGTTATGTACCGGTAGACGATGTGACCAGTATCGTCTACAGGTAGTAGGTAGGCCATGTTATATGTACAGGTACACGTTTGGCCTAGTGTTATGTACCGGTAGACGATGTTACTAGTATCGGCTACAGGTAGACAGTGGACCATGTTCTATGTACCGTTACACGTTTGGCCCAGTGTTATGTACCGGTAGACGATGTGACCAGAATCGTCTACAGGTAGACAGTGGACCATGTTCTATGTACAGGTACACGTTTGGCCTAGTGTTATGTACCGGTAGACGATGTGGCCAGAATCGTCTACAGGTAGACAGTGGACCATGTTCTATGTACAGGTACACGTTTGGCCTAGTGTTATGTACCGGTAGACGATGTGGCCAGAATCGTCTACAGGTAGACAGTGGACCATGTTCTATGTACAGGTACACGTTTGGCCTAGTGTTATGTACCGGTAGACGATGTGGCCAGAATCGTCTACAGGTAGACAGTGGACCATGTTCTATGTACAGGTACACGTTTGGCCTAGTGTTATGTACCGGTAGACGATGTGGCCAGAATCGTCTACAGGTAGACAGTGGACCATGTTCTATGTACAGGTACACGTTTGGCCTAGTGTTATGTACCGGTAGACGATGTGGCCAGAATCGTCTACAGGTAGACAGTGGACCATGTTCTATGTACAGGTACACGTTTGGCCTAGTGTTATGTACCGGTAGACGATGTGGCCAGAATCGTCTACAGGTAGACAGTGGACCATGTTCTATGTACAGGTACACGTTTGGCCTAGTGTTATGTACCGGTAGACGATGTGGCCAGAATCGTCTACAGGTAGACAGTGGACCATGTTCTATGTACAGGTACACGTTTGGCCTAGTGTTATGTACCGGTAGACGATGTGGCCAGAATCGTCTACAGGTAGACAGTGGACCATGTTCTATGTACAGGTACACGTTTGGCCTAGTGTTATGTACCGGTAGACGATGTGGCCAGAATCGTCTACAGGTAGACAGTGGACCATGTTCTATGTACAGGTACACGTTTGGCCTAGTGTTATGTACCGGTAGACGATGTGGCCAGAATCGTCTACAGGTAGACAGTGGACCATGTTCTATGTACAGGTACACGTTTGGCCTAGTGTTATGTACCGGTAGACGATGTGGCCAGAATCGTCTACAGGTAGACAGTGGACCATGTTCTATGTACAGGTACACGTTTGGCCTAGTGTTATGTACCGGTAGACGATGTGACCAGAATCGTTTACAGGTAGTAGGTAGGCCATGTTCTATGTACAGGTACACGTTTGACGTATGATGGTATGACGTCAGAATGGATCACTGTTAAATCCGGAGTTCGACAAGGTGGGGTGTTGTCAAGTTTTCTCTACCAAGTGTTTATTGACAGCCCACTTTGTACCCTAGAAAAGAGGAACCAAGGAGCTAGAATCGTGTCTATACCGGTAGGGAATCCTACTCTCGCTGATTATGTTGCCTTAATTGCTATAACACCAGCCTCGCTACAAAATATGTTAAATATGTGTCACACCTACAGCACGACATGGCAGTATAGATTCTATAGTTCCAAATGCTCTATTATCGTGATAGGCAGATTCATTCCAAGGGAACCCTCGTTTTCCTGGTCAATAGGAACCAATCCTATTCAAATTGCATCATCATATATACACCTCGGCGTCCCAGTTTCCAATAGGATGAACAATGGCGAACGGGTTGCTAAAGCATGAGTCATCCATGTTGTTCTTGGAATTAATGCAAAGTCGACTTCCATAAATGCTTTAGTGAAAGTTAATCTATATAAGAAAGTCGTCATTCCATCAATTCTCTTCGGATGCGAACATTGGTTGCAAATCAACCAGACGGACATCCGTGATTTAAATACGTTTCATCATTACCCTGCCAAACTTATCATAAACATAAGGAAAGGGACAGGGTCAGACATTGCAGAAAAGTATATTGGGGATCCAGCGAATAGGCGCCACTTTCGACCAACGGAAACTCATCTTCCTAGCACAACTGATTCACCTAGATTGTAGATACATTGTAAAAACAATGGTCTTAGTCCGTCTATATAGCTACATTATTGGCGAGGAAGACGGAAATACAACACAACAACGTGGTTTCATCCCGGATATAGTTGCAATACTTCACAAATACAACCTAAGATCCTATCTCGATAAGTAACAGTTTAAATTCCCGGGAAAAGGTGAGTGGAAACGTGTCGTAAAGAGAGCCATTAGCCGTTTTGAAAATATTGCCTTAAGAACGAGGCNGTTTGCGCCAGGCGTGAGTTTCTCAATTTACTCAATCGAGCAGTTTAGTTCCGCCTGGAACTGTCCATTAATGCAATGGACATTTCTAAACTTCATACATTTTTGTACTAACTATTAACACTGTATCATATCTGAGGAATTACATATGTATACTATATATTCAAAACTTAAACTCCACTTTATAGTATCAGCAAGAAAAAATAACGTCATGAAAACCTATACTTGTCAAAATCATGTGCAAGCCCGGGCTTATTGGCTTACATGGTAGCTACGCGCCTGGAGGCTATCCAACGATGATGACTTTCTTAGATGTAGACGAATTCATTCGACGTACCATCCCTATGTTCTGTGGGCTGCTTGCAAATTTACGAAGCATATTAGACAAGTGTACTTCCTGTGTAATGGTTTGACCTGTGTTAATTCACATCAAATCCGACGATGAACCTGTTGTCAGATAGACGTCCAAGACACGACCCGCCATATATGTGTGTCAATCAACCAGGCCACTGAAAACCCGCTTCTTGACTAATGCTATGCTTGAGTATGGACCACAGGTTTATAGTTATCTAAATGACATGGAAGACGAGGATTTCCTCTTTGCACTTTTTTTTTGTCCCAGACTTGCCAGACCACCCCACCAGAGACGATTTCAGATTTAATTGTGCAGCCTTCATCATGGAAGCTATGCACATCTATTATAGCAATAACTGAGCAGGCACTGCTACTCATCTATTTGCTGAACCACAATTGTGTTTTCTTACCAATGATATATAAAGTAATATAACATATACTGAACTGTGATGACATATGATTATCATTCGAAATCGTATGGTCTGAGAAAGCTTATTTGGCTATTATCCTATCACTAATTATTGATTAATAAGTATGTGTAAATACTAGCTGGATATTGGTGGTAGCGCATAACAGTGATATGTGCGTGCGTGTGTGAGGAAGGGTTCGTTCGAGTATGTGCGTGCGTTTGTGAGGTGCGTGTGCTAAAGTGTGTGAGTGTGAGTGCGTGCGTGTGTGAGGATGTGTGCGTGCGTTTTTGAGGTGTGTGCTTAAGTGTGTGAAGGTGAGTGCGTGCGTGCGTGTGTGAGGAAGTGTTCGTGCTCGTGTGTGTGATGATGTGTGCGTGCGTACGTTTGATGATTGGTGTGTGTGTGTGTGTGTGCGTGTACAAGGAAGTAGACGCGCGTGTGTGATGATGCGTGCGTATGTGCGTGTGTGAGGGTGCGTGCGTGCGTGCGTGCGTGGTAGGGAGAGAATGTGTGTGAATGTTCACCTGAGATTTATATTCACTGAACTGGACCAGTGTCTACTGTTATTGTAAATGTGTATATATATATAGCATGTGTTTCAATGTTTACGTTATATGTTTATGTACAATTTATCTCCATATCGGGGAAAATAAAGATTGATGACTCCTCGAAGGACTTTTGGGATATGACGGAGAAAAAATATTCTTCAATGTAAAAGCCCCAGGCTAAGAGGGTATCAGATAGCATGTTCCCGCTGATCAGCAAGAAACGATCTCTATTACGGAGAATTTTACCTCATGAATATTCATAGAATTAGGTAACTCACATACGACTAATTCTAACAATAGGATAAATCATCTGCAAATGATCACATTACCAAAAACACCGAAATGTTGATCAATTTGGATGAAAAAAAAACACAATATAAAACGTTCTGCTCGAGCGATAATTTAATATTTTCGTCAGGTTTATAAATATGAGCCAGTATATGGCTAGTCGATTTAAATAAAGGTACCATTGACATAATATATATATACATTATATACAAAATAATTTAATGAAATCTAAATGAATTAAGTTATAAAATGATATATCAAAATTGATAAATTAGGCTCATATCACACAGATCACAACACGTAAAGTGTTAAATTATTCACGCAGAACTTAACACTATACATACACAATTATACATATACATACACAATTATACATACACAACTATACACAATTATACATACTTAATTATACATACGCAATTATATATATAAAAATGTAAATGAATTGGGTTATAAATATTGATAACTTATGTCTACCAAAAACTGAATAAAATATCTACATTCCATACTACATACATACACGTATATCAGTTGTTTACTGATAATGTACTTCAGTTGTTTACTGATATTGTACTTCAGTTGTTTACTGATATTGTACGTCAGTTGTTTACTGATAATGTACATCAGTTGTTCACTGATATTGTACGCCAGTTGTTTCCTGATAATGTACTTCAGTTGTTTACTTATATTGTACGCCAATTGTTTACTGATAATGTACATCAATTGTTTACTGATATTGTACGCCAGATGTTTACTGATAATGAACATCAGTTGTTTACTGATATTGTACTTCAGTTGTTTACTGATATTGTACGTCAGGTGTTTACTGATAATGTACATCAGATGTTTACTGATATTGTACGCCAGTTGGTTATTGATAATGTACATCAGTTTTTTACTGATAATGTACATCAGTTGTTAACTGATATTGTACGCCAATTGTTTACTGATAATGTACATCAATTGTTTACTGATATTGTACGCCAGTGGTTTCCTGATAATGTACATCAGTTGTTTCCTGATATTGTACGCCAGTTGTTTCCTGATAATGTACTTCAGTTGTTTACTGATATTGTACTTCAGTTGTTTACTGATATTGTACTTCAGTTGTTTACTGATATTGTACTTCAGTTGTTTACTGATATTGTACGTCAGTTGTTTACTGATATTGTACTTCAGTTGTTTACTGATATTGTACTTCAGTTGTTTACTGATATTGTACGTCAGGTGTTTACTGATAATGTACATCAGTTGTTCACTGATATTGTACGCCAGTTGTTAACTGATAATGTACATCAGTTGTTTCCTGATATTGTACGTCAGTTGTTTACTGATATTGTACGACAGTTGTTTACTGATAATGTACATCAGATGTTTACTGATATTGTACGCCAGTTCTTTACTGATAATGTACATCAGTTGTTAACTGATATTGTACGCCAATTGTTTACTGATAATGTACATCAATTGTTTACTGATATTGTACGCCAGATGTTTACTGATAATGAACATCAGTTGTTTACTGATATTGCACGCCAGTTGTTTACTGATAATGTGCATCAGTTGTTTACTGATATTGGACGTCAGTTGTTTACTGATAATGTACTTCAGTTGTTTACTGATATTGTACTTCAGTTGTTTACTGATATTGTACTTCAGTTGTTTACTGATATTGTACTTCAGTTGTTTACTGATATTGTACGTCAGTTGTTTACTGATAATGTACATCAGTTGTTTACTGATATTGTAGATCAGTTTACCCCTACCCGAGATTTATTCTCGTTAGTGCAGCCATTTGAACTGTGTGTCCTCCTTTCAGACTTGAGACATCCTTCTATCTCACACATCAAACTCGATGAGCATTTTCTCGTAGTCCGTATGGAACTCCTGTTTGTTGATAAACATGTAGTAGCAACCCTCCACCTCCATCATGGTAGGGAACTGACGATCCTCACACACCGACACATCCTCCCCAGTGATGGCGTAGATGTCTCGGTGGTGTGTGCCCTCGGAGCGTGTCTTTCGATATTCGTAGGTATCTTCCCCACCCAAAACTAAAAGTCTAGCACTATCGCTGTTATCCCGTATCATACTAAAGTTTTTCCTGTAGAAATTCGGGATCTTCCCGATTAGCTTGGTAGATCCGTTTTCAATAAAAGATACCAACTTGCCTTCTGAACACAAAACTTCAATTCTATTTCTACAGACAACCGCTCGGGTAAACTTGCTAGGACTCGGAAGATTGCTGACATGCGTACAAGCGTAGGTTTCAGTATTGAAGCACTGGATTGCTGCTGTTTCTTCGGCGCATCCGAGCCATCCTCCAAACGTATATATCTTGTTTCCCAGGGCCACAGCGCACGAAGCGTCTACACCGATGTGAAGGTCACCGACTGGTCTCCACATATCGTTCCGAACGTCGTACTCCTCGACACTCTTCATAGTCCCGGCGTTGTATCCCCCCAAAACGTACAGGACATCTTTCACCGACACCATGCAATGCCGGTAACGACCTGAAGTCATTGACGCACGGCTACGCCACCGGGACAGTTTTGAGGAGAAATAGTAGCAGCTGTTCAGCTTGCTGGTGCCTCCCGTGATGAAGAGGTCGTCGCCATGGCAACAAGTTGCGAACTCCTCACCCATATCCGGTGGTGTTGGATGAAGTGAATACCATCTTTGTTGAGCGAAGCTGTAAGCAATTAATTCCGTTATCCTCTCGCCATTCTCCTTTAGACGTCGGCCTATCACTGTCAGTACCGTCTCTTTATTCGACCTCTCTCTTTGTGGCTGCAACAGATGACACTGGTCGTTTCTTTTGGCGGGAAGAGCATGTATTTTTACTGCTTGCCTAACGAGTTTAGCACAAATATCGTTTGACTGAATCAGTTGTAGCGAATCCAATTCGTTTAATAGGTATTCTAAACTGAGAAGGGTTAATCGGAGATGAGAGAACACGATTCCGATAGAAACCCTCCTCTCATCCTCCTCAGCGTCGACCCAGCGCAACACTGCGTCACAGACATTCTCTTCCCGTATCACCGCTAAGTCATCTTCTTTAATGATCTCACAAAGTTCATCGAGTTCAAGTCGAACAAATTCATCAGTCAAGCGGATCTCTTCAAAACGTTTTTGTATATATGTCCAGCACTTGGCCTCGAGATTTGTATTATGAAATGCCCTAGCTAGCTTCCAAACACCCAAACAATTTTCAGAGTTCATTTTATTTTCCATGAATGTCTCGCACTTTGTTAGTAGAGAGTCAATCTGAAGGAGAGATGACGTTTTGAACAGGTCCTCCGCGGTGTGCTCAGTAAGGACATCGGTATCCTTGTACACGTAGGAGATGACAAGTTTGAACACGGGCGGTGTGATGTCCTTTAGACGCACTCTGTCTTCCCTGGATTCTCTCATCCCGGACGAGTACATGGCGTCGAAGAACTTAGAGACGGCGGACAGTACGATCCGATGACAGTGAAAGGACTGGTCTCCCACTTGAACTATGACATCAGTGTAGCGGTTGGCTTCATAGTATTCCTGTATCCCTTGCATAAGAGTATCTCTCACTGCCATGACGATCACCTTGACAACGAATCACAGCATCTGTGAAAAAAAGTAAATGATTAGAGAAACCTTGTTTTAAAGGTAAATAGTTAACATTTGGATAAAAAAATATATAAAGACAGCATCCAAGTAATAATCTATAAAAGTGGTTCTTTATCAAAACGTCACAGGTTTTCCTTTTCTTAGGTTCCCTTACTATCAAACGTCATAGGTTTTTCCTTGTCTGTGGTTCCCTTACTATCAAACGTCATAGGTTTTTCCTTGTTTGCGGTTCCCTTTCCTTTTCTGTTTCCCTAACTTATGTGGTTCCCTTACTATCAAAACGTAACAGGTTTTAGTGTTTACCCATGATGTAAAGTAATATAAGGTTATAAGCCTCTTTCATGCACAGGGGTGCACCGTTGGACATGGAAGAGTATTGTTCTCTCATTCCAACCATCAGAATAAGCTCAGAAACCATGAAAATGCATTTGGACTGGCAACCATTTTGAAAATATCAATTTTCCCCCTAACATTTTAGACGAAAACGAATTAGCCAGCCAGATTTAGCATATCCCATAATATGTTATAGGTGAGATCTAGTCAGTGAGCACATATGGAAATACAGTTTTCTGCATAATTTAACTGTTTCATTTTATGTACAGTCGGCGGAACAGTAATGATCCAATCCTTGCATAATTCAATGGAGGTGCCATTCTATATATATATCCGCCTGAAGAAGCCCTAGAAGACAGAAAGGCCAAGCGGACGATCTGAAAGATTTATGTTTTTATTCTATATTTTCCTTCGCAAGGACTTATTTATTTATTATATACTATATATATAAGTCTGAAGAATCTCCTAGAAGAGATGAAAGTACTAAAGACTCGTTGTTAAGAATGTTTCTTTATATAATATTTATTCGTCCGTAAGGATAATTTTTCTGATTTATAATATATATATATATATATATATATTGTGTGTGTGTATGAACTGGACAACAAAATGAATGGCTTTTGAATAGTTTAAGATAATAAGAAAATAATAAAGTTGATTTGCACATTTTTTTAGACTAGTGTTTTTAATACATGCAATCAAAAGAATCAAAGGTCTTACTCCAGAATTGATGCTTAAATTGATCAGTGATATATTGTATGTAAATATACAATTAGGATAATGATTACATCACGCAGTATATATTGAAGGGATTCTGCCCACATTCCAAGTACAGAGGAATTGTTAGGTCTTGAAGAAGAGTCGAATATCCAAGAATGAATACACTCTTGGGAGCAGGTATTGATTGTTACGTCCCTGGTTTGTGTGAGAAAATTACGTCGTTTTCTCAAAAATTGATGACGTTACTCTCACAAGCAAGTGACGTAACAATCAATACCTGCTCCCAAGAGAAGATAACTCTGCTATATGCAAAGACGGAATATGATGACGCGTGTTTACAGTGACGTCACATTCGCGTCACAACACGTTGTGAACGTCAATTCAAATATTTCAATGCAAAATACGTATAACTGGTATATATATATACGGACTTATCAGTATCAACTATGCTATTTTAAAGCTAAGGACAAATAACCAAGCGCATGTACTACATGGAAACAATTTTCAGTTCAAGAAAAATGAAATTATCAAAATTAATATGTGGGACATCAAAGGATTTCATCAGTAACATCGACTTTTTAAAAAAATGTAGAATTGTCTCTAAACATAAAAATCTGCCGGAGATACGACAAAAATCCCAAGGTATTCATTGAAAATATCAAATTAATTGTTTGTGCAATAAAAGAACATCAATGCAGGCACGAAGCAACGCATGTTGCCGTTTTTTGCGATGCTTAACGACCGGAAGGACGAGAGTTTTAGAAGCCTTGATATATATATCAAAAAACCAATTCATTCCCATTTTCCCGTACTTTCCGTACATGTGTTGCTATAACGGCTCGCACTGCGCGGCCGATCGCGAACTGCGCATACACATTAATCTCATCTTTCTAACGTGTACGGTAAATATATCGTAAAAGGTTTTAATTTCATCACGTCGCCTTTCCCGCATTGCGGCATAGGAGAGTTCCAAATTCGTGACGTCACGTCATTGTTGAGCCATTGTGACGTCACGTCACGTGAAATGGAGTGTAAGATAACATCTTCTTTTACCCTGGACAGGTGTACTTTTTCCTATGATATATATTGACTTCCACTCAAAGGGTTTCCAAATTTGGCAAACCCGAGTTTTGCCGAAGAGTTTATTTTCTCTTTCAACAAACACTCGACAAACTTAGTGTTTGGTAATTTACATTCGGATTTGGATAGATTCTATTAATCTCATATGGTCACAACGCAGAGGAAATGAGATGACGTCATTCTGCGGCAGGGTTACGTTATTGTATCCTTTTTTGCTGAATTTTGTTTTCAAGTTTGTTTTAATTGCCGTGTTTATATACTTTTTAGTTTAGAATTTCAGTACTTTCCTGTGGTATAGGGACATTTAAAATTGATTCAATATTCAAAAAGTTGCGATTTTGTCACAAGTTGGCGGCTATACTCATCTCGCTAAAATGAATTAGTATGGGATGTAAGAAAATAATTGTATCGTATATGTATCATAGAAATAGTCCACTATTGGCTGCATAATTTGGGTTAAACAACCTCGACAAGTCTAGGATTTCGCCCCAAATTATGTACCCTCAGGTATCCTACATGTACATTATACAAATGATCCATCTAGAGTTTCAGTACATATGGCGAACCAATCTATTGTTCTCGGAAACCTGTTTTGCGTCCGTTCAGATATTTTCATGATGTACATCCTTACGGTAGTATATCATGGATAACAAAATTCGCCGCGGGCAACCTTATTGTGTTTTAATATGGAAACAACAGTACAGTGTCCCCGGGGGGTGTTTTATCATAATCTGATCATAACAAGGAGGCAGTTTTAACTTTGGTCAGGTCTATCAATTCAAACTTATTTATATAAAAGAAAATGATAATAAATAAAAACTGTCATGTGCCAAAATGAATGATTGACCATGTTGACACCTATTATACAGATTTCGGGATGCACGGGTAAGAATGAAAAAAATATAGAAACAGCGAATACATTATTTCGCTGACCGAAGTAATGAAAGGAAATAGTTGCCACCGCAGCAAAATCTGCCCGTGCCTTGTATAGTGATATACAGAACTCGCCTCCCAATGCGTCATTATAATTAGCATGGCGCTGGATATCTCACAGTAGCTGTACATTTCACCGTAATGACCAGATGGCGAGTCGGCACGTGGGGCTTTGCTCTGCTTATCTTTTGTGTATATGCGTCGGCTGCAAACCCGAAATATCTGAATATCTGAACACACGTACATTGTTTATATACAGAGTGGATGTTATTGATAGGGGTCGTAGTAGCAATAGCAATTAACGCCCCCCCCCCCCCCCCCCCCCCCCCCCCCCNTGATCTTGCTAAAATATTGAGATCTCTCCACTTTTAAAAGTGTTAAACAGTCAAAATGCCAGAATATGACGTTCAAGATATGTCAGACATTGTATGATTAATATAACTAACGATTGGGTATTTATTTCATTATATCGGCGACAAATTTCATCTATATACTACGATGATGGAATATACAATAACTAAACAAATAAATGTGCTAATAACACATTTCAGCATTGTTAAGCTGATAATTCACTAAAGAGTCAGGTATACAGCTGTAAGATATCGATTTGTACCCATATCAGGTACGTCCTTTGTATTCATCAACACAGGAATCAATCGATCTATTGTAAACAGTTGGTTCTGTGTGCGCGTACATCAATAACGCATACAAGGACATGTGTCACCGTTATGTTTCTATGTTACATTGCAGTGGCGGATCCAGAGGTTGATTTTGGGCTTCAGGAAACCATGTATTTTCACCATTTCCCCCCCACATGGACCCCCCCGCCCCTGGTCTCTGGATCCGCCACTGCATTGTACATACAGTCTATATCATCTAATATTAACATTCATATACTAACCCTACAACATCTTTAATCATGCTTTCATTATAGCATATGAACATGAAAACACATATAGGTACTTACATGGTTGTTATTTTTAGAAAACAAAGCTTGGTCTCCTTAACTGTAAACAAATCGCCTATCTATACCTGTACGATCACGAGTCACGGTTATGCTGTTCTTTTGTTAAACGAGACCCAGTTCATGTTAGTAATGTAAGTATATATATGGTTGATAGAACAGTGAAATGTAATATGACCAGATATAAACAACAAAATGATCACCGTACCTGTTGACTGCTACTTGGAGAATGCTGTTTGGTCTGTTAACGGTCGACGTGTCCGAACGGGATCCAGGGATAACAACACATAGCCAACACGCTATAACATGTAATTATAAGCTTACGTAAGTCCGTGACGGCGCTGCCCATTGGTCAATCGCCCGAATATACACAGCGGTGTAACGCGAAAGCATGGTTAGCTTTACATGTAGCACACTAAAGCGTGATATTTTCGTCAGCGACATTTTTATTTTTTTTAAATTATAACCATAGACTTGTCTAATCTAATCTAATTTTGTTGTAGAATCAATTAATTACCTATTATAAATATACTGTCAAAATAATCTGTGAACTGATGAAGCGAAACTTCATAATGGAATAACGATTTTTGTTTAAAGTGAGCCCGAGTTTTATCTGGCCAAATCACCAGACTTTTGACATTTTGACAGTGCGGGCCAGAGAGCATGTAAATACATGTAGCCGTTTTAGCGTAATAATTTCGTTAGCGACTTTGTGTGTTTAAATTAGAACCATTGACTTATGTAATCTTATAAAATTCCGTGCTGGAATCAATTCATTACCAACTATATATACTGACAAAATAATCTGCGAACTGATCAAATATTGCATTTCCTGATAGAGTTGAAGCGAAATTACACCAAGTAAAAGAAGATGATGCAGCTGATATAAATAAAGTGTTTAGGTGTTTATGAAGTAATACTATAGTATTTGTTCAGGAAAATGTTAAAATTTAGCGACAGTTTCATCAAGCCAAATCACCAGACAGTGAGGGGCAGAAAACACCACTATAATTTGGTGTCTCGAAATTTTGGAGTGTTAAAAACAATATTATTGGTGTATGTAGATACCAGAATTCATGGTCAATATAAATGTAGACATTACTTTTTATGGTCAATGTAGACAGTAGATACCAGTATTGGTGTAATTTCTATGAAAGGTATTCTAAATTATCTCTGAATAGGTTTATATTTTTAACACTGTCAAGTTCTGCCTCGACCATATAAATATGTTCTATTATGCACTATCTCCCTTTGAATGTAATTCTACAGCATTTGTTTTTGTAATTTTTCAGCTGGACATCTAACTATTAAACAAGTATGGCTGGTAAGGATTTATAACTGAAACATTTAACCTAAAGATATGAGTATGAGAGTAACAAGAAATTGTATTGTTTACTTTTTTCTTATCTACCAGTATTTAATTATATTTTTCAACTGGAATTTAAGAGAAGGCTGATGTAAAGTCTGATATACATCTCACCCTTTTGTTCATACAATTAATCGTTATGGACGAAAATTCCTTAATAATGCCAAATGAAAGCATTAATAAAGTTAAGGAAAATGCAAGATTTTCCTGAACTCGAATAATACTTTTCTAAGAGAAAGCTCTGCTTTCATAATGAAACGTTCGCGAAACTTGAATCGGTATATATGTTGTATGTAGATAGCCAGCACGGATGTACTTATTATTTTGAGGTTACTCTGTTCGCTACACATCTACATCTTTGCTTTTTCAGACAGAGTGGTTTGGTAAAAAATGAGGGCATTTATAAAAAAAAAAAAAACTATTTTACGAATGCCATGGAAATATTCTATGCAATTATATTGAAACGGTAAATATGCGTATTCTATATTGTAACAAAAACTTATCTTGCGATATACGGAAATTTCAAAGAATCATTGTTTGTTATTATGAAACATCGTTGCCAATAAAATTGATCACTTTCAAATGACGTAAACACGACATGCGAATTAAGTTTATATATATTTGGTTTAATACTGGAAGATTTATATTGACAATCTTTTTTTAGTTCGTAGTTCCCTGAATCAAGCGTGTATATCTATGAATTGTAACTAACAACTATGTTACTATTGTTACAAATGAGTTAGTATTGTTACAACAATGTTACTATTGTAACAAATGAGTTACTTATATAACAAATATGTTATTATTGTAACCAATTAGTTGCTATTGTGACTGTTATGTTACTATTGTAACCAATTAGTTGATATTGTGACTGTTATGTTACTAATGTAACAACTATGTTACTATTGTAACTAATTAGTTGATATTGTAACCGTTATGTAACTATTGTAACTAATTAGTTGATATTGTGACTGTTATGTTACTATTGTAACTAATTAGTTGACATTGTGACTGTTATGTTACTAATGTAACAACTATGTTACTATTGTAACTAATTAGTTGATATTGTGACTGTTATGTTACTATTGTAACTAGGTAGTTGATATTGTGACTGTTATGTAACTATTGTAACTAATTAGTTGATATTGTGACTGTTATGTTACTATTGTAACCAATTAGTTGACATTGTGACTGTTATGTTACTATTGTAACCATTTAGTTGCTATTGTGACTGTTATGTTACTATTGTAACCAATTAGTTGATATTGTAACAGTTATGTAACTATTGTAACCAATTAGTTGATATTGTGACTGTTATGTTACTACTATAACAACTATGTTACGATCGTAACCAATTAGTTGATATTGTAACAGTTATGTAACTATTGTAACTAATTAGTTGACATTGTGACTGTTATGTTACTAATGTATTAACTATGTTACTGTTGTAACTAATTAGTTGACATTGTGACTGTTATGTTACAGTTGTGGGATCGTTACACGATGTGCACGATGTGTGCACGGTGTGTGAACGGTGTGTGCACGATGGGCGAACGATAAAAAGCTGGACGATCAATTCAATTCAATTCAAGTTTATTCCGGGGGCCTTACGACCCATAGGCATACATAAATATAATACATAATATTACATACATATGTGGAGAGTGATCTCTCATGACATGCATACAGAACACAGAAAGTAACATTACAGAACACAGAAAGTAACATATACATGTCTGTATACGATACACAAACAACATACTAACAGAGACGGGAGGTAACTCCTCGGCAATGTTATCTTGATTGCGATTACATAAATGCCAATTATTACTAAGTTTAATGAATATACATTTTACACCATTAGCAATAATACTTGTATTATACAGACAGACAGACACACACACACACACACACACACACACACGCACACACACACAGAAGTATAAGTAATAATTATTTTTCAGTCTAGGCATGATTTTCTTTGCATTCGAAATGATACATGAAATACATATGAAAGGTGTTTAACGATAACATTCGCTTTTAGCCAAAGTATGTTTTTCTTTACTTAACGACAGAATGCCAAGGTATACATGGTTACAAAACATACCTATTGCATACGTATTTGGAGAGTGATCTCGCATGACAAGCATACCGAACACAGAGAGTAACATAAACATGTATGTATAAAATACATCATAAACATAATAGTACAAGAAAAATTAACTTAAGTTAAATTTAACTTAACAGACA